TTTTATCTCATGGCTTTTTGTCATAATTATGACTTAGTGTGTCATAATTTTAACTTTTCATCTAAATGACATTTTATTGTATATTATTTCAACTATTTGTTATGACTTCTATGTCTGATTACTTTTTATGTAAATTTTCACTTTTCATCTCATAATAATTCCATTTTATGCCATAATTATATATTTTTGTTCCTCTTACATGGCAGAAACGGCCTTCCATACACGTAAAAATTAATTTAAACATGTTTAGATCTTATGATACTGGAAAACAAGACAGAAATACTGAGGTAGAAAAACAGTTTTTGCATTGTGAGGGTTTGATCAAATCTCTGTCGAAATATAACAATACTAGCAGTGACGCTTGACTAATGAGTCAACAGTTGAAAACGTGAAATGCTGATCTGTGCTGATCTGGGGTCAGTGTTGAGCTTCACTGTATTATTGCAGTGCTCAGGGTACAGATGAGAGGAGTTCAGAGGAAACCAGCGGCTGACTGACTGCAGAGGATACTGAGGATTTCAATCAAAAGCTGGAAGAGGATTGTGCGTCCTTGACCCAAACAATGATTCAGCAGGAGCTGAGGATGCGGTGTCTTTATGTGTATTGAGAACTAATATTTACAGAATTACACCGATATGAGCAGGGTGTGTACTGTTTATACAGTGATTATTCATGCATTACTGAAGCTTAATATTGGGTCAACACAATTTCACCCTTGATTTTGCAACACTTACATCTCAGAAACGACTATGTTTGTATTTTTTTCAACAAAAATGCCGAATGCATGTTTTTCTTCTGTTGATCCAGTTTGGACTAGGGGTGTGCGATATATATCGTCTGCGATAATATCGTAATTGTAAAAATGCCCATAAAAGGTAAAAATCAGTTTAAACTTATTGGAAAATATTAATTTCTATCAGTATGAACTGACCACCACACAGAATATGAAGAATATTAAAAACATTAGGAGTCAGCTGTCTTTGGCAGTCCTTAAGGTACCAGCACATTAACACACTTAGCAAAATATAATCTAATTATCGTTATCGATAAAATCCCAGAAAATATCCAGATATAATTTTTTGTCAATATCGCACACCCCTAGTTTGGACTATAAAAGTGTTTTAGCGTTCTGCAAAAAAACAATTTTCTTAGTCTTTTTTGTTTGTTTATATATATATATATATATATATATATATATATACACAATAGTCAACATTTGAAGTGGATCAAAACCTTTCATCAAAGATGTCCTAAAACCAAAACAATACCAGTTCTTGTCTTAAGACAACTTTGATGAATTT